ACGTTGGAGGGGTCGGTACAGTGGTACTTAGAGGGGTTAGATGGTGAAAGTGGGATGCACGTTCGAAATATTACCATGGTTTTGCCAGGGCAAAGTTTTAAGTTTTAAACCATCGCACGCCTTAATCAGGCAGGAAACTCAGGGGAAGGCCACATCATGATCACAGTACAACAACGTGCCACTGCACACGCGTAGGGATATTTGATTCGGGCTACCCACTCGTCATCAGATCATCAGTCCTCTCAGAATCTGACGTGTCCGTGGCACGCCATGTTGCGACTACAGTACGTTACCCACCCAGATCTTGATCATCGCATCTACTCGCTTCAGTCCAAGTCGATATTGGTATTTCTTTAATCCAACAGTTTCGACCAGATCAACTAAAGATCACTCTGGACTACAGCAGCTTATAGAACAACTTTAGGGTCCTCAACACCCTAAAATTAAGGGGTACGTTGCCTGCTCTTGAGCCAAAAGCTTGAATCCGGATTCCTCCATCGGGCGGCGCATGCAGTAGCTGGTGATTATGACATCGAGGCATGACACATGAAAACGATACAAATACGGTAAGCCTTCACTGCGACTCAGCAGCCCGTTTCCGCCTAACATCACGCTCTTCGGCAATGGTAAGTTTGGTACCCTTTCCTTTAGGGAGCGAAACCCAAGGCTTTGAACCTTCCCCAATTACAAAGATGTTGGTTATCCTGGGAAGTATCAGCTGTCCATTTTGTTGCCACGTAGATGCTACGTACCGTGTTGCAAATGTACGATCCAGGACATCCTTCACGTGCACGATGTCAAAGTCACCAATGTGCTTTTCGCGGTGCACGATGACACCCGCACGGCCCATGTTACGGCCACCAGTAATCATGACCAGATTTCCTGTATCGAATTTGACGATACCGGTGATCTTACTTTGAACGAGGTCGAATTTGACGGTGTCGTTCACCCTGATGGCAGGATCGGGGTAGCGAATGGTGCGACCATCGTGGGTGACAATGTACGGGACCCCCTTGTTACCGACAGCGACCTTCTTCACCTTTAGGAGTTTGTAGGCTGCTTCGTCGGCGGTGATTCGGTGGATAACGAAGCGACCCTTGACGTCGTAGAGGAGGCGGAAGTGCTCTGCAGACTTCTCAATGGAGAGTACATCTGCCGAAGGATAAGCCCACTTGAACGTGATATTGTGCAAGTATCATACCCATGAAACCGGTGGGATATGTGTTGTCGGTGCGGACCTTGTTGTCTACCTTGATCAGGCGTTGTTGAACAATCGAGGTGACTTCACGGCCGGTGAGCGCATACTTCAGCCTATTGCGGAGAAAAATGCAGAGGGGGAGTGACTCCCGGAGCTTATGAGGCCCGGGAGAAGGACGTGGAGCCTAGAGACATGTAAGACCGCGACGGAAGCACAAGTACCACGTTACGCACGTATGTACCGCTCAGTTTGTCAAGCATCCATGACGAAGGTGCAGCAAGACGCTTGAGATGCTTTTTAGGTCCACGTGCCTACAAACGGGCAACGATGAGCATCGTGAATGCAGGAGGTTACTAGCAAGAAGACATCGGGAGATATTGTCATCCAAATCCAACAGACAGCATCCACCCTCCGCATGGACCCCATCTCTCGCATATGACACACAATAGCGTGAAGTAATGCGCCAACTGACCATGATGAGAGTCTTGAGGAGCGGAACGTTGTCAACGACGGCGACCTTTTGATTTTGCTTGCGACAGCCTGCCGCTGCACCAGAGTTTGGTCCTACCGTGGGGAAATTCCGCTTTAGGGTAGGTCGCAAGCCTGCACGTGACTGTTGGCATCGTCTGTCGACGATGGCTCTCTGCGAATGGAACGTGTCCTACCACATCATCTAGTACTGTAGTCAAGAATACAACATATAAGTCGTTACGTGCTAGTGTTTCAAAATGAGTATAAGCATCAACTACCGCCCTTCGTGGCACGCAGAACCATGTTCTCCAGTGTAATGGCTCGATATTCTCCCGTCTCGTCCGACGCCCACACGGCATCATCGAGAACGTATACAAGTATTCCCCCCTTCCCATCTGCAGTTGGTGAGACGCGGAACAGCGGCATGCGCGAGCGCTCATGAACACGGCCAGCTGGTAAGAAAATGAGATTGTGAGTCGCCGCATAGTCCTCCACGATAGAGCGGAACGTGATCTCCTGCACGCGGGCCGGAGGTTTCTTAGCCTTCGCCGCCGCAGTCGGCGCCGGTGAAGGCGCGATATCGCCATTGTGATCTGGGCGGGGGAGCTTCGTGGGAGCTTCGGGCCCGAGCTCGATCGCCATATTCATAAGCTGCAGTCCGCGTGTGAAGCCATCGCGCACCGCAGGGAGCGCGAGAACCTCCTCGGAAAACACGCTCTTCCAAAACGCGTACCACTGTGCCACCTCGTCGAAGTTCGGGCGAGGCTGCACGAGCCAGACGTGCAGGACGTCGAGCCACTTGGGGAAGAACTCGGCCGCGAGCAGAGAGGCGAAGATCGAGCCGCGTAGGAGAGGCGCCCATGCAAGCACGCGCTCTAGTGGAGCCATGTCTTGAGAACGCGGGTTCACGCGGAACTCTTCGCGCAGTGCGGCGCCGAGCTTGGGGACGATGTATTTGAGCATCATCGTGTCCCAATCGCCTACATTGAAGACTTCGCGCCAGGTCGGCACTTCATCGGGAACGCCTTCCGCGATATCCCATCCGCGAAGGAGGGACTTGAGTTTACGGCGTGCATCTCCTAGGAACTCCTCCATACGCAAGCCAACGTGGGGGAGCCAAGGGAAGACCAGAGTTTTGAGTGGTACTTCCGAACGCCGTGGACTCCAATCGGCCACTGCTCGGGAGACCTTCGGAAGAATAAGTTGGTCGAGAAAATTGTCGCGAATAAATGGCGGAAGGAATATTGACCACACTTCGTATAGCCGAACCGCCGGCTGAGGTGTGCGAGGATCCCACTCGTTGTTAATAGACGACCGGACTCTTGGCAACCAGATGTTCCACAAGAGACTTTCGAACGGAGTCATGGGTACCTCCATCTTTGGTGGGGGCACAGAGAAGGCGCTGCCTCCGAACCGCCCCACCTGATTGTCTGGTGGTCGCTCCTCACGGTCTGCGAGTCTAAGTGCTCGTCTCCAGAGCCGGAATGTCGAAAGTAGTTTCGTGGGATCTTCAAGCGGATTCCATTGCGAAAGCATCCGCCGCACCTGAATACAGCATTTCAGTATCCACACGGTTCTGAGGTAGCAATGGTACGCACTATCGGTACAATCGCCGCAACCACCACTTCGTCCAGTCGGTACCTGTCGAATTCCGACGGAAATTGCGATAGAATTTTGTCAAAAAGTGGCGAGAACGGCTCTAGTGAAACCTCGTAAACAGCCGCTTGTTGTCGCGCCAATGCCTGTATATCGTCTACAACGAGATGGACTTGCTGCATCCGAGATATAACTAAATAGCTGTATAAGCATCATGTAAGGCGGGTAAAGTGGAGAGGACATACGCTCTGCCTCCTCGTGAATTTGCTTATTCAACCTGAGCTCCTCGTCTTGGAGAGTCTTTCTTCGCTTCTGGATTTCTTTTGCCTCACGAGCGAGGCCCTCTAGGTCCCTTGTAGCGGCTTCGGCGATAAGTCTGACGTTATGTCTGACTTCTGGTATGCGCGTTGAATCCGTGGATGGGGTCCACGAAGCAATAGAGACTTCCGCTAAGGATGAGACTTCGCGAGGCTAGGGGAACAAAGATCAGCCAGTCCTCAGTCAGGAGCGGAGGAAGAACATACCGCTGCGCCGGTAGCGTCTATGATGACGCCAAGTCCAGAAGGCCCAGCGGTGTCTTCCCCGACCTCAGCAACGATTTGCTCGTAGGTCTTATGCTCGACCTTCGTCTTCACCTTCTTTGGCTTCTTCCACGCATCCCCCGCCTTCCGATTCTCTTTCCCCTTTGTCGACTTCTTTTTCCCTACCTCCTCTTCATCGTCACTGACAACCTCCCCACGACGACGGGCCTCCACTCTCGACTGCTCCGTGCGCTCGCTGAAGCCCTTGAACGCGATACCCATATTCTTCGGGCGCACTTTCGTCTCGATCGGCGCCACGATACCCTGACTCTCCGCACCAAGGCCAGTCCCCGTCTGCCAGCCCATCTTCGCGAGCATACGCGCGCCGAATGTACCCTCGAGCTTACGGAAGTGCATGCTCTCGCCAGCAGAGAGACTTGGCTGCGGCGGTGGAGGCGCCTGCGGCGTGCCATTCCGGACAAACGCGCGCTGGGGGCGTGAGGCACCGCCAAAGGCAGAAGGAAGAGTGTCGAGGAGGGTGGGGTCGGATGCCGGAGGGGCGGGTGAGGATGAAGACGCGGGGGGAGAGGGTGTTGTGGGGATGGAGATGGCGGCGGGGCGCGATGCGCCAATTCCGCTTCTTGTGGATACAAATGTCGGAGCGGGTGGTGGTGAAGGCGCAGGAGAAGGCGTGCTGGAGACTGCAGCGGGTCGTGAGGCGCCAATCCCGCTTTTGGTGGATACGAACGTCGGGGCGGGGGGTGGAGACGGCGCAGGGGAAGGCGTGATTGAGATGGCGGCGGGGCGTGAGGCACCGATCCCGCTTTTTGTGGATACGAACGTCGGGGCTTTGGCCCAGTCGTGTTTCTGGACTGGTGGTTTGGGTCTGCCCCCGAAGCCCTCATCGCTGTCGTCGTCAGCAGTTGTACGGGGTTTCTTCCGATGGCCAAGATCGTCGGAGCCAGAGTTTTCGTCGTCGGAACCGTCTGAGTCCGTGATATTGTCTTCCATGAAGCCGCGCTTCCTGCGAGCCATGGTGGCTGGAAGTAAAAGTGTACACAACGCAGGAGTCACAAATCACAAGTTGTGATTCACAGTTGCCCGCTTTCGAAACAGTAAGCGGAGGGGATCACTGATAAAAAGCACACTTAAAACAGTGGAAACAGCGACGGGTCCAGAGGTCCAGCGGTGATGATGACAGGGAGGAAAAGAATGGGCCTGGCCGGGAATTGAACCCGGGACCTCCTCCAAATGACGTTGAGCCCTAAGAAGGAATCATACTACTAGACCACCAGGCCGATATCTCCGAGGACTTGGGTGTCGATATAATCTGGTTGCGACAAATTGGGAAGCTGACGCGTCTCGCGCTCTCTCGGACTGGAACGCGTGCATTTCATGGACACACCACACCCAACATCATCGACAGCGATGGATCCGCTGAGAGTGGAGGCCCTTACGGCCTATCGTGAGGTCAGGAGTCTTATGAGATGGCGCAGAACATTTACTGACGCCGTTTATCCAGAAAATGCGGACACACGAGAACACTAGTGAAACCTTGAAGAGTCGTGCGTCTAGTATAGACTATCATCTGCATTCTGTCGTTCATCAAGGATTCAGTTCGATTTTCAATTAAGGATTTACAGAAAGACTACAAAAAGACGGAGGACGACATCAAAGCCGTGCAATCCGTCGGCCAGATTATTGGGGAGGTCATGAAGCAGTTAGACGATGACCGTTGTGCGTATATTATCTCAACACTGCCTTGTATGCACTCAATCTTTTGTCAGTCATCGTCAAAGCCTCTTCAGGACCGCGATACGTCGTGTCTTACCGCCCCGCTCTCCCTGCAAACAAATTAAAGACAGGCACACGCGTCAGTCTCGACATGACAACACTCACAATTATGCGTATTTTACCGCGAGAAGTGGACCCTATGGTATACAAAATGAGCCTGGAAGATCCAGGAGGTGCCACTTTCGCCGGTATCGGTGGTCTCGGCGAACAAGTACGGGAGTTGCGCGAGGTGCGTCCATGCTTCAATCACGGTGTTTTTCTCGCGATTCACACTACTCCGCCAGATCATCGAGCTCCCGCTTCTCAGCCCCGAGCTCTTCCAGCGCGTAGGCATCAAACCCCCCAAAGGCGTGCTGCTCTACGGACCCCCCGGAACCGGAAAAACGCTGCTCGCGCGTGCGGTCGCCGCGACACTCGAGACCAACTTCCTCAAAGTCGTCTCGTCCGCCATCGTCGACAAGTACATCGGCGAATCTGCGCGCGTGGTACGCGAGATGTTCGGCTATGCGCGCGAGCACGAACCCTGCGTCATATTCATGGACGAAATCGACGCCATCGGCGGGAGGCGGTTTTCGGAAGGCACCAGCGCGGATCGCGAAATCCAGCGCACGCTCATGGAGGTAGTACCACCATACTCGCGCCGATTCAGAGATTGATACACCGAGGCAGCTGTTGAACCAGATGGACGGATTCGACTCGCTCGGACGCACGAAGCTTATCATGGCGACTAACAGACCGGACACGCTGGATCCTGCACTGATGCGCCCTGGCCGCCTCGATCGTAAGATCGAAGTGCCGCTTCCTAACGAGCAAGCACGGCTTGAGATTCTCAAGATCCACGCGGCACCGGTGACCAAGCACGGGGAGATTGACTATGAGGCTATCGTCAAGGTACGTGCTTTCGTAGATATATTTCGCCTCTTTTCTCAAATTTTTGTGGTTGGCGTAGTTGTCGGACGGGTTCAATGGAGCAGATTTACGGAACGTGGTGACGGAGGCGGGCATGTTCGCTATCCGAGATGACCGGTACGTCAGCTCTCTCGTTGCCAGTGGGACCGTACTCTAACTCTTTCGCTCTATAGGGAATTTATTCAGCAGGAGGATCTCACGAAAGCGGCGAGAAAGGTAGGCGAAGCGAAGAAACATGAGAGTAAGCACAAACACATTTTGACCTTGATCTCTAACCTCATTATCATCCAACACAGCCAAACTTGATGTATCAGCATAGACCCACTTTTCTTCTTTCTCAACTATTTCATTTTTTTTTCCCCGCAATCGTTACATGTCAGGCGAGCCATGCAAGTACGTCCAACAAAAAGTATGCCACAACAATAAAAAAAGTAAGTAGGTATATCCTCCCTCAAAAGCCCAGAAACCGCTTCTTTTTCTCTTTCGCCGCCTTCTCCTTCCCATTCGACGATGGTGGCGTGTACGAGTTGACAGAGAGCGTGCTGCCGGACAACGACGGCTCGGGCGTCGTCCGCGCAGCATTGCGCGCGCTTACACTCTTGCCCATGGGTGGCGGACGCTGTTGTGGCGGTGGCGGCGCGTCGCGCGTAAAGTACCGCTCGTCGTAGAATGACTGGTACGGCCGTGGGCGCTGCAGTTCTCTAAGCCCATTCGGGACTGCGCGTGAGCCGGTGCCACTAAGGTCAAGCACTTTGAGATCGTCGACGAACTGACGCGGCGTCAACGCATGCGTCGAACCTAGATATCACATAGCATCGGACTCCTTAGTATTTATTTTTTGCGTTGGCGACGCACCGATGATGACGTCCTTCCCGAGCTGGCTGGAGAGCAAGTACGCCTCGCGCATCTCCGAGTAGGTCATTCCGCCCGCGACGAACACGAGAACCCGCTGGCGCGCCTCAGTAGACGCTGCGCCTGTGCGTGCTGCGCGGTGCCAGCTCGGTTTGGCGCTCCGTAGCGAGGTCGTCGGTGTTGGCGTTGGTCGGGCGCTAGACGCGGCTAGCGTTGCTTGGGGGTAGTCTTTGACGTATGGGAATGCAGCAGGGTCGAGCTTTCCTGAGACTTGGTCCTGCAGTGCGCGCATGAGCAGCGGGATAAGTAACCGCACAGAGAGCTTACCTCGATGATGGTGCGAAGTAGGGGTTTGTATCGCGAGAGCTCGTACTCGTCTTCGCTCGACTGTTTCTGCTTGATGCGTCGCCTGAGGTCTTTATCCCCTGGTCCCTGAACCACGCATATCGTGAGTGCTCTGCCGGACGAGATCGCGCGGGGGCGTACGTACCCTGCTGATTCGCACACCTAAGTGCACGAGTGCATTTACGGCGTCCATTTCTGGACGGGTCAGCCGCGCATGCTGATAGAGTCGCCGACGATCCTCGTCCGGGACGCCTTCTCGATACTGGATGTAAAGCGCGATAACACGGACCTTGTTGGAGTTGCTACCGCAGACGAGATCAGGACTCGGGGGAGGTATCTCCGGACGCTATTTGTGACGTACATGACATCTCGGCTGTCCAAGAGCGGAACCATCTCCTCGACTAGTGTTTTTGGCGTTTTACCTTCCGCTGTCAATCCCGTCGAACAATTCTATACAATATAAGAACGCGAGTCGGCACACCGGATCGCCGAACGTACCTGCTCGACCGTCGCTACCACCGGCAACTTATCACGCTCAAAAATGTCCATGCACTCCTGTGCCATATTCAGGTGCAGCGAAAACTAAGCGTCCAAACTGAGTATCTTGCGGTAAACGACGCAAAAAATTGACTCGCGTACCTTTTCCCTCTGCTCCTGGTATTGGGGCAGGCTGGCGAGCATGTCCTTCATATCATTGAGTGTAGCAGCGCCTTCTCTGTACCGAAGTTAATAAGACGGTTCGGTACGAATGACGCCGAATGCACGCACCCCTTGAAACCCGCGTTGTCCGTCATGAATTTGTTAAAGTCTGCCATGAGCTTATCGATCGCCTCTCGCATATGCATATGCCGCACGTCGGTCCACACTGAATCCGAGTCCGATAGAACCGCCATCTTGTCCTCAAACGCACCGACAGAGGACTGGAACTTGTATCTATATATGCGGGCACGTTGGTATGAAGCGCGCGAACAACAAAAGGTGGAACACATACGTATATTTAGAGCCATCCTCGATGGGGAGGAGGTCATTTGCCATCGCCTGGTACGTAAACTCGTGAATGAACGGCGCAATGACGTCCATCGCGCGATCCGTAACGATCAGCGTCGCCCGCTGCCTTCCCGCATCCTGTTTCTGCACACCCACACCCACAGTCAGCGCTCCAGAACATACGCGCCCACATTCGCACACGTACCGGGAATTCAGGGTTCACACGCTTGTATTCGTCCAGCGCTGACTGAATCTCGAACGCCAGGACGCGCGATAGGACCTCCGCGTCTGCTGCTTCGCTCTGGCGTGCCTGTTCTCCGCGTGCGAGGTTCGTCCGCCAGCGCAGTGAATTCTCGTTCGCCTGCCGCGGGGGTGGGGCAGCGCGCGTGCTCTCGTGCGGGCGCAGTGCACCGAGGGGCCCGTGGTGTGCGGGAATATAGTATCGGATAAACGGATACTCATTGAGGGTGATACACACGTTTGCGATCTGTGTGCATACACATGAGTAAAAGGTAATAAGGACGTAAAAAGAGCCGGGCGACACGCACGGATTTCGCAACGAAGCGGATGTCCTCCTCTATGCGATCCCGCTCGGGACGCGCAGTGGCGTCGGACCGTGGTGGCGAGTACATGCTGAAAAAATGCTCAGGCACACGTAAAGAGAAGGCCTGCGCCTCCATCGCTGATACCGTACTTCAGGGTTGTGTCGCGTGCACCGTACAGAACGGATCAGACCTACCCCAAAAATTAATGTAGAGGTCTTGCAGGCCGCGAAGGAATGGCTCGGCAGGCGAGGACGTGAGTCGTTGGAAGAGCTCGTCTGCCAAGGCTGTGTTGCGCAGCCGTCAGAATGGGCGCCGATTCCAGTTATGTGGAGACGCACCGTCAACGAAGAAGAGATGGGCGCCGGCATACTGTTGTCGCCCATTGGAAAAATCGCGGATGATACGGTCGATATTGGCGGAGGTGGGCGTGAGGATGTACACCGCGTCGAAACTTGGCTGTGCCTCACGGTTGCTCGTTATGGATTCGATTACTGGTGGTCGGTGATTAGACTAGCCGGACGACGGTAAGAAGGATCAAGGAGCGCACGGGTTACATTCTCCTCTAAAATATCAAACTGCTTGAGGACCGAGTTGAGCAACTGTTGCGAGTGTTCGTCGATGACGAGAATCTTCCATCTCGACGGCGGATTAACGGAGCGGATAGCATCCAGGAACTCTGCGATGGAGAGAGTGAGCGGTACAGCGACAGCGACGAAGAGAGAAGGAGATTACTGTTTCTGACGAGAGTGATGAGAGAGGACATGCGAGCGAGCTGAAGAGTGTCTGTGTCTTGTGTTCTTGTCTCCTCATCCACACAACTCGGCTATCTCCGTCCCAATTATGTTCAATTATGGTATCTTATCTAA